AACCTCCTGATGGCACCTGGTATTTTTGGCCACTGTGTGACAGAGTGTTGGACTGGATGGACTATTGGCCTGATCCAACATTGGCTTCTCTGACATTCCTATGTTCTTACATAAGAGGTCCACCATTATCGATTCTGTCGAGTTTCTCTCTGCTTAGGCACCCTGAGTGCAATGCTTTGTTTCTTGCTCTTTTACCGCCATGCAATATTGTGCACGAATGGTGGGCCAACCAATCTTTCCCTCTCCCTGTTTCCCAAACCTGCCTCTCTTGGATCTTTTTAGGACGAGCACTGTCCAAGTTATCAGGCAGACTGGACAGCAGGGTGGACGGCATCTCAGATCTGTGCCATTTCCCCCTCACAGCTGTACCTTCCCCATCACACCACCAGGGGTCTATTTCTGAACTTTAAAAAGAAATAAATCTATAATTGGGAAATCACTACAGTGTTATAATGTCTGATGGACCCAGATGGGGGAAGAACAACAAGCAAAAACATTCTCTTTGCCTCTGTGGCTAGCAAACACAGTCGGGTGAGAGTTCTACTACAGAGCGAAAGAGGGTAGGGTGGAAGCTGGGACCCCCCGGCCAGGTGGCTACTAGGGTCTGCTATCCCGTCTCCTTCACATATATTTCTCTCCTGTCCTTTGCCGTTCCAGCCACAACGCTGTCATCGCAACTGAACGAGACATACAACAAGATGAAAATCAACCCCTCCGGCCGTGATCTCCACTGTAGGTTTCTATATTTTATTTTGCAGGCATCCGTGGCTCTGTTGCTGACCCAGGCGTGGAGTGTGGTAAAGAGTAGGCCGCTGACATCTTTTCTGGTGTCCGCCAAGTGCTTTAGAAAGTGGGCGTGGCCAGGTGGGGGTTCCCCCCCCAAGCAGGGCTTCTGATTGGCCACTGGGGATTTGATTGGCTGCGCAGATTTTTAAAGATGTTGCTTTGGCAGCGGCTGCCGACACAGCACAAGGATCTGACCTCTGTGAGTGAAGGTAGGCTCGGGTGGCCATTTTGCGGCTGGCTCCACCTCCTGCGACAGCTGTTTTGTGCCTGTGCCCACCATACTGTGTCAGAGCTCCAAAGGTGCCTGCAGGCTCAAAAAGGTAAAGGCCCTTGGCCTAGAACAATTCAGGTAGGATTGCCAGGTCTTACCTAGCTGCTGGCAGCTAGCAGCTTATCCCCTGGGTTTTTTGGTGCATGTGCAAAGCACACACAGCGCGATGATGTCACCCGGAAGTGACGTCATCGTGCAGGGCATGTTGCAGCGGGACGCTCTATCATTTGAGGGAAAACTCTATGGTAGCCATTGCACCAGGCATGTTGGCACTAACAGGGCTCTTTGGGGGCACAGTTCCCCCCCGCCAGCCAGATCAGGGGTGGCAGATTGGGCCCCCCCGAAAGCGGGTAAACCCCTGCTCCTGTCGGGGGAATGGCAACCTTAGATTCAGGAGAGGGTGTAATCATGCGTGTTTGGTGGTGGTAGTGCTGTTACCATTTTTTATTAGGACCGGAGAAGTTACGCTTGGGCCCTGACCCCTCTGCTACCAATCCTTTTTGGCAATCAAGCTCTACAGGAAGCTCCAAGTGAGGGGTTGTGCTGGCCTAGAGGAGATCACATATTATGTTGTCCAGGGCTTTTTTTTGTAGAAAAAGCCCAGCAGGAACTCATTAGTATAATAGGCCATACCCAAGAGCAGGAACTCATTAGCATATTAGGCCACACCCTGACAGCACAGCTCATTCGCATATTAGGCCACACCCCATGTTGCCAGGTGCGGTCATCCAGCCACACCCACCTATTGCTTCTTATTCTCTTTAACTTGTTTGTTGTCAAAACCCAGGGCTTTTTGCATGTTAGGCCACACACCCCTAATTGTAGCCAATCCTAAGGAGTTCCTGCTGTTGGGTGTGGCCTATTATGCTAATGAGATCCTGCTGGGCGTGGCCAACTCGGGAGCCAGCCGGAACTCTGTTCTTGTGCGTTCCTGCCCCAAAATAGCCCTGATGTTGTCACTATAGCCTGTACTTACCAGGCTCAAACACTGGGTTGGGCTTCCCTCAGCACCACCACAGTTCTCAGGCTCTCATCAATTCCCAGGCCAAGCTACGAAGTGGTGATCCTCGTCTCTTCTTCTTTCCTTAGTGTTCCCCTGTGGCCCAGACAACAGGCAGTGGGAGTACTTCAATGGGAAGTGTTACTACTTCTCCTTAGAAACTGTTCCCTGGCAGGAGGCCAAGACGAAGTGTGAAGAGCAACACGCCAAGCTGGTTGTCATTGATGGTTTCCCCAAGCAGGTAACGGAAAAGGGGATCTGGTTGTCTTTGGGAATGGGCGGGAATGACGGAAGCCAAAGTGCAATTTTTGTGTGTGTGTATGTGTGCAAAGTGCTGTCACGTTACAGCCAACCTGTGGCAACCCCAGCAAGGGGCTTTCAATGCTAGCGAGAAGCAGAGATGGCTTGCCACTGCCTTCCTCTGCAGAGTCTTCTTTGCTGGTCCCCCAGCCAAGCACTGACCCTGCTTAGCTTCTGACATCTGGTAAGAATCGGGCTATATTATACCATTCCACAACAGTGGAAGGTCAACTTGGGAGGGCTTCTGGAATTCTAGCTGGTGGACCTCCCGATGACACCTGGGTTTTGGCCACTGTGTGACACAGAGTGTTGGACTGGGTGGGCCCTTGGCCTCATCCAACATGGCTTCTCTTACGTTCTTATCCCCCAAAGTGCAGTTTGCAAATACCAGTTGCCCATGTGAATGCAGCTGAACAGCAGTGCTTCACTTTGCCCCCTTGCAAATACCAATTACCCAAGTGAATGGCAGTCCTCCCTCTCTCATCAATCACCCCTCGAGGTCAAGAAATGCAAAAGAATCACAATGCAATCTCAGCAGCCCCGTAGCCAGGATTTTGTGGCTTGTTGGGCAAAATGTTTTCTGCTGGGGCTGCCATTCTTTTCCATAATGAGGGGGCACGCCCCTCTCCCTCCTCTCCTGCAAGCTTTAAAGGGCCCTTCAGCTGCTCGATGGGGAGCACGTGGCCTGCCAATCAGCTGGAGGGCCCTTTAAATCTTGCAGCAGAGGATGGAGGGGGGGCATGCGCTACTTCCTGCTTCTTCTCAGAAGGGATCCTTCAAATACATTTGAGAAAAAGTGGGGAGGGACCTTTAAGGAAGGGGGCTGGCCCTTTGAGGAAGGGTGCGGAGCCCCCAATAGCCCCATTGTAGGGCCAGAATCTCACCTGCCTCCTCCAGATCTTTAAAGGCTGAGATGGGCTGTCCTCAGTGGGCAGTTCCAGGATAGTTCCAGTGAAGATCCCCCCAGCGTACGACACCAATGGCAGCCAGTCTGGCCATTTAACTGACAGGGAAATTTCCTGATGGGCCACTGCCCTAGAAGGCTGCTGGTGGCCAGAAGCAAGCTCTAGCAACATGCCAGAGCTTCAGGGGTCACTTGGCTCTGGTCCTCCATTGGCCATGATCACTGGTGACAGTTCACCAATTCTCTTTTCCCACACTGCTGCCAGTGTTTAGGAGGAAGCAATGGGTGAGCTCCTCCAGCAAATTTGAAGAAAAATGCATAGCATCCTGGTCTTCACTCATCAACTATAACAGTGGTGGGGAACTATGGCATGGGTGCTAGAGGTGGCACTCAGAGCCCTCTCTATGGGCACACGTGCCATCGCCCCAGCCAGGCCCAGACCATTATTAAAGTGTCGAATTCTCTGCCAAATAATTTTAAGTAAGTAAATGAAAGCATTTGGGATTGCTTTCCTTACTTTGTTTGGATCATCTTAAGTTAATGTATGAGTTGTTTTTTCTAAAGTAAAACCTCAGTATTCAGGTTAAATTGCCGTGTTGGCACTTTGCGATAAATAAGTGGGTTTTGGGTCACAGTTTGGGCACTCGGTCTCTAAAAGGTTCACCATCACTGAACTGTATGGTTGAATCTGATGTAATTCCAGCAAATCCTTTATACAAATCAATGATATGCTTTTGAAACTTGAACCTGAAACATTATTTGGCTTAGATCTTAGTATCTGAAGTTACTTTCAGAACACTAATTTAAAGTTTGCCTGTAAAGATACGTTTTTATTATACGATTGTTGCCTTAAGAGGCGTTTTGTAGTGTGTAATATAGTTCTTCTTCAGCCTGGACATAGTTAAGCATGAATGTTTTTTCTAACCTATCTTTGTACTTCATCTGCAGACATCTATTGCACTTGCTTTGTATTGTTATTAAATTCTTAAATAAAATTTATTTTTTTTAAAAAACCCATTGTTTGCATCAGTGAGTAACCCCCTGCACAGCTGACACCTAGCTCCACTCAGCTGGGCTTGCTCCAGGGCCATTTTCGCTTCCCAGTCCACTCTTGAGGCAGCAAAGACAGTTCTGTGATGGTCTTTTCCAAGCTGGTTGTTCCAAGTGGATCCATTCGGGGGGGGGGGGGCCATATTTGTTCCCATGCAGCAGCATGAGACGTGACTGAACCCTCACCTAAAAGCTCACAACTAAAACTTCCCCTGCCTCTCTGAAAAATTACTGATAGTGCTAGTCGAACACACGGAACAAAAATGTAGTGCAGCCTTTCAAAGTATTATCAGAGTAGGGTACAAAGAGGCTTCATAAGCAGGGGTCGTTTCATAGAAAAAGAGCTAGGGGAACTCATTAGCATAACTCATTAGCATATGCCACACCCCCTGACATCACCGGAAGTGTGTCATAAGGCCACACACCCCGCCCCCAATAGCCCCGGCCGCCGCCGCCGGCCTTGCAGCTCCACTGCCGAGCCCCATGAGGGGCCCGGCGGTGGACCTGCAAGGCCGGCGGGAGTGCAAGGAAGCCCCGCGAAGGCCCTCCCTGGCCCCAGGCAGGCAGGGGTGGGGAGAGGCAGGGAGGAAGCAACTTACCCTCCCTCTTCTCCTGCCTCCTCCTGGCTGAATGAGGGCCGGAAGCGGGGCGGCCGGAAGCAGGGGGCGGGGCTTCGTCATGTGCCCCGCCCCCGTACCTCACCCGGGGGAACTGCGATCCCCCCCGAAATGACCTCTGTTCATAAGAAATGGCACTTTGAAACATCTGTGCCACAGCAGAAAAGGTCCTGCAGCAGATCCCTGTCAACCTTGCTATCCAAAAAGAAGGGATACCGATAGCCCTCTCACCTGCCACCAAGTAGGTCTTATGATTCTTTTTGAAAATCTATTTATTTTGGCCGTAGCTTCCCCCTGAGGCAAACCAGATATTTCCCACCATTTCCACTTTGACACAGCAACACAAGTCAGCATGCCCTCAGCCACACTTGTCTGATCTCCCCCTACAGAACTTCATACAGACCCGAACTAGGAATGAGCGCTTTTGGATCGGACTTCATGAGTTGCAAACAGAAGGAGAATGGAAATGGCTGGATGGTAGCAACTACAGAACAGGTTTCAAGTAAGCCCTGCTGTAACACAAAATTGTGACATTGTGGGGAAGCTCAACCCGAACCTAACTCTCCTGTGGCTTCCTCCTGCAAGGACAGATGCATCAATTTGTATGGGTGTGGGAGCAGCAGTGACTTACCCACATTCTTGTTCTCCTCACTTGTAAGTTCCTGTTTCTTTGGAGGTTTTTCCCTGTTCTGCATATGTTTTGCTCCCTCTAGTGGTTGATTTGGTATTACATTGATTTATGTCCAGCATAAAAACCTACAGTTTAAATATGCAGGGAGATACGCTGGACATAACCTGATGTAATATCGAATTGACCACTAGAGGGAGCAAAACATGCATGGGACGGGGGGGGGGACCCCAAAGCAACAAGAACTTACAGGTGAGGAAAATGGGAATATTGAAAAACCCTCTGTCAACAAAGTGACTTCATGGGATTTGCTCCTGGCTTCAAGGGAATCTTGATCAGTCACAGTGAGAAGGTAGTATGATTTTTCATGACATGTCTAGTGATCCTGATGTGCTCTGTAGATCTTATTCACACTTCGAGTTAGGATCCACCCATCGGTCATTCCATTCTGTGATTCTTGAGTGACAAAGGAAAATAATGGAATGACAGAGGGAAAGAATGGAATACATTATCAGCTTCCAGTTCTCTCACCTGGCTGAAACCAAGGCCTAGTTATTTTATTCGTATCACCCTTTGAACTCACACATAAAAGCAACTTTGGGATTTATTTCTTTTTTACACCGTTCCATCTCAAACCATTAATTGTTTGTAATTTTGAACATGAAATTATCTACCCTGAAAATGCTGGTACCATTTTATGGCTGTGGTCACACGGAGCAGTTGCCACGCTACTGCGACGGAAGATAGGCAGATTTTCTGGGTGCGATCTCACTGCCACATCTGGGAAGCGTAGAGCTCCCGTGACGAACCTGAGGCTTCCCTCTGAAGATGCGCGGTTAAAAACTAGTACCTCGGAGGTACTAGTTTCCGGAAACCGCGGGGCAAGGGCGGGTGTCTGATCGCGTTTCCAGTGGCATCCGCGCCCGCCCATGCCCCATTGCGAAAAGGTTTTTTCCCCCCGAAGTCTCCAGGGATGCGCATAAGCACCCAACGGGGTATGCGCATACTTCAGGTTAAAAAAAACCACAACCCCGTTTGCCGCGCCGCGCTGCTTCTTTGGCGCGTCATGTGATAGGCACCTCCCCCTAACCACGGGACCTCGACGGGACCGCGAGGGGACGCCTGATTGCGCAGTCGCGCGTTATTTCGCCACGCCTCCCCCCCGCAATATCCGGCCCATGTGGCCGGGGCCCAAATATTGTGAAACGAATTGTTGACATTGCACAGTCTCCAACTGGCAGAAAATGCCATTTTGTCCAGAAGCAGGCGGGGGTTGGAGATCTCCCAGAATTACAACTGATCTCCAGACAGCAGAGATCACTTTCCCTGGAGGAAATGGCTGCTTTGGAGGGTGGACTTCATAGCTCCCGCTTCAGACTCCACCACCCCCAGGATCAACTCCCAAAGCTCCAGGGATTTCCCAACCAGGACTTGGCAACCTTCAACTGTTTGTAGTTTTCACATTTCCTAAGTCCAATTGTCTCATCCACTCTGTAAATCAAACTTTAGGGTTTCAGACCAAAAAGACAAACACGTAATAAGGGATTTTAATATCTAGAAGAAGAAGAGATTGGATTTATACCCCGCCCTTCACTACCCAAAGGTGTCTCAGAGCGGCTTACAAACTCCTTTCCCTCCCCCTCCCCACCACAGACACCCTGTGAGGTAGGCGGGGCTGAGAGAGCTCTTGACAGACACTGTTATTTTTTCAAGAACAGCTCTTATCAGAACTATGGCTTGCCCAAGGTCATCCAGCCAGGTGCAAGTGGAGGAGTGGGGAATCAAACCCGGTTCTCCCAGATTAGAGTCCGCGCACTTAACCACTACACCAAACTGGTCTAGTCCATGAATGCAAAATCGTTTGGGCGGGGTGTGTGTGTGTCAGATACAATGTGTTCACAGAATTGGTTCCTTTCTAGGCGAACACAACAATAATCTCTGTGATTTCTTGTTCCTTCTACATTACTGCATTCCTCTTTTCTTTTAATTAAACAAAGCTTTCTGTATCACCTAGGGTTGGTAGCTCTGGGTTGGGAAACCCCTGGAGATTTGGGGGTGGAACCTGGGGAGGGTAGTGGGAGGGGCCTCAGCAGGGTCTAATGCTACAGAGCCCAAATGCTGAAACAGCAGTTTCCCCAGGGGAACTGATTTCTGTCATTTGGAGATCAGTTGTGATTCCTGGAGATCTCCAGGCCCCACCTGGAGGCTGGCAACCCTAAACCAATTCTGGATGTAACGTTTGAGTCCAGTGGCACATTTATGACCAACAAAGTTCAGTTCTGGGAAATGCTCCCTCTAAGCTGTGGAGCCTTGTGAGCAAAAACTCTACTTGGTGAGCTACTGGCATTAAAGTTGCGAACGAACCATTTGGCTACTGCATAAATAAGTTTGCTCTGGAGCCATCCTTCCTGAGCTAAGGCAAAAACGTGTGAGCCGGAGGCTAAAGAACTGTGAGCTAACTCACACTAACTCACCATAGAGGGAACACTGATTCTGGGTATAAGCTTTCCTGTGCACGCACAACTGTGTTCTTTGTTCGGTTACTTTAGACCAGCACAGCTTACCTACATCAGTTTCAGAAAGGGTAGCCTAGGCTCCTTGGAGAACACATAAAAATCCACTGGATTTGGGCCATTTGTTTGGTTTGTTCATTTACAAACAAAGCTTTTCTTTGATCCCAGGTACTGGAAGCAGGGAGAACCCAACGACTACATGCGACATGATGAGGACTGTGCCCAAGTCTGGATCAATGGGGAATGGAACGATTTCACCTGCAGTTCCAGCTGCTACTATGTTTGCGAGAGGCCCATGCCGAGCCCCCCTCCGGCAGCACCCAAAGGAAAGTGAGCCCCTGCTGTCGTTTACGCTGAAGGAAGGAAGAGAAGAGGGGGGGGGATGGATACAGTAGTGAGAAAAGAAATCTTATTTCATTCGAGAGTCCCTACACATCTCACATGCAGCTTAGTTGGGTGGTCTGTATGGCAACCCATCTCTTACAGGGTTTGCTCTCAGGGTGTTTTCACACAGCCTGAATAATGCTCTTTCGAACTACCTTCAATGCACTCGGACCATTGTTTGCTGGTGGGTTTTGCCATTTCGCGCAGTAAAGTCCAGTTGCAAATCACATTGGAAGCAGGGCTGCCAACATCCCGGTGGTAAGATTACATGTAACAAAGTACCGCCATGTACAATAGTTACTGCTTACTGCTTATTAGAGTTTACTATCACGTAGCATATGGAATTCTAGCAATATTTTACAATAATTCAAAATTATAAGTCTCCAGTGGTTCACTAATATAAAGTTTCACCAGGAAGGAACAATTAATGGTTAGCACCTATTTCAAAGCTTGTAAAAGTAACCAAAAAGGGTTTTTTTGGGGGGAGGGGGGGTTTGCTACCAATATTTAACCGTGGACAGTGTAGTCCAGGGGTCATTTCCTGCAGCAGCGCACAGGAGTGGAGCTCCGGAAGTAAAGAGCCCAGGGGGCGGGCACATGCAACAAGCCCCACCCCCTGTTCCCAGCAGGCCTCAGTCAGGGCAAGAAGCAGCCAGGTAAGTTGCAGAACTCCCCCCGACCCCCCAGTCCAAAACAGTCCAGTGGCACCTTTCAGACCAAGTTTTATTCAGGTACAAGCTCTCCCTCCTCTGTGAGGGCAGATCTGCGCGTGTCCCCCCCCCCCCCCAACAGCTAGCAATCCAAAACAGTCTAGTGGAGCCTGAGCGGTGGGTGTTGCCTTCTGACACACTTCCGGTGATGTCAGGGGGTGTGGCGTATGCCAATGAGTTGTGCTAATGAGTTATGCTAGTGAGCTCCTGCACCGCTTTTTCTACGAAATGACCTCTGGTGTAGTCCAATTACAATGGAGATACTATCAGCAACCAACATGCGTCCAGGTTTTCTGCATGTTTCAGTAGCCTTCTTCCAGGTCATGAGTTATCGATGGAACCAAAGAGTAACTATTCTGATAAGCAGCACAAAACGCCGTCTGTTCTCTCATTTAGCAAATCGGTTCCCTACCGGAGGTGGCTGGAGATCTCCTGACATTGCATCTGATCTCCAGGCTACAGAGGTCAAGGTCACCTGGAGAAAAGGGCTGCTTTGGAAGGCGGACCCTCCGGCATTAGACCCCATCGAAGTCCCTCCCCTCCCCAAGCCCCACCCTCCTTAGGCTCCACCCCCCAGAATCTCCAGTTATTTCCCAACCCAGAGCTAATCAACCCTAATTTGATTTTTCAGTAAAAAGCAAGAGGCAGTTGCCTTACAGATCCCCTGAGAAAGCGGCATGCAAAACGCATAGGGTTTCTCAAGTGAAATAAAATTTATTTTGCCACTGCACCAGCCAGCCCCCCCTCCCCGCCTTTTCTTCCTTGCTTCTGCATTGGCGCGGCCCTCTTTTCTGCATTCCCCTCCCCTAAACACCTAGGGACATAAGGCCCATTGTAAGGAGTGCAAACGACACCCAGCGGCCAGTGAAAAAAGGACACCGGAGTTCATTTGTTTTAAATTTCCCCAAACACCTTTAAAAACAGCATGTTAAATTTTGACATTGAACATTTAAAAATTTGACAGTTTATGGAAACGGTGACAGAAATATCACCGATGGTATTCTGTTTTGGCATTGCGGTGCTTAAATCCACGGAAATAAGATCTCGTTTCATAAGGAATCGATTTTTGCAACGTAATAGCATTCCTATCTGCCTACCTTACAGGGCTGTTGTAAGGATAACTGAGACATGGGAAGGGCTTGGGAGAAGTTGAAACAACCACACATGTTTTGGTTACTGTAACTTTATAATTAAACACCTCCCCAATGACCTTTTGTATTCATACAACAGAGAAATTCCTGACAGAGAAGCGATGTCTGCAGTAGTAGGTAGGTAGGTAGGTAGGTAGGTAGGTAGGTAGGTAGGTGGCTACAGAGGGAAGGCCTGGAGAGCGACACACACACCGCAACTCTGAGGTGGGAGGGCCAGGGGGGGGTTAAACTGCCTTCCCTTCCCTTCAGGGGGGGGGGCTTCCCCGGGCAAGCCAAGGGAAGGCATGGGTGTGGCCTAATATGCTAATGGGTTTTTTTGCTGGTGGGTGTGGCCTATTATGCTAATGAGTTACTGCTGGGTTTTTTCTACAAAAAAGCCATAGATAGATGATAGATAGATGATAGATAGATGATAGATAGATGATAGATAGATGATAGATAGATGATAGATAGATGATAGATAGATGATAGATAGATGATAGATAGATGATAGATAGATGATAGATAGATGATAGATAGATGATAGATAGATGATAGATAGATGATAGATAGATGATAGATAGATGATAGATAGATGATAGATAGATGATAGATAGATGATAGATAGATGATAGATAGATGATAGATAGATGATAGATAGATGATAGATAGATGATAGATAGATGATAGATAGATGATAGATAGATGATAGATAGATGATAGATAGATGATAGATAGATGATAGATAGATGATAGATAGATGATAGATAGATGATAGATAGATGATAGATAGATGATAGATAGATGATAGATAGATGATAGATAGATGATAGATAGATGATAGATAGATGATAGATAGATGATAGATAGATGATAGATAGATGATAGATAGATGATAGATAGATGATAGATAGATGATAGATAGATGATAGATAGATGATAGATAGATGATAGATAGATGATAGATAGATGATAGATAGATGATAGATAGATGATAGATAGATGATAGATAGATGATAGATAGATGATAGATAGATGATAGATAGATGATAGATAGATGATAGATAGATAGATAGATAGATACAGACAGACAGACAGACAGACACTGGACTCTAGTGGCTCACTGAAGGCTAACAAAATTTTACAAATGGAATTTTAATCAAATTGAAGCAGAAGCTTTCGTGGACTCAGACCCACTTCCTCAGAGGCAATGCCACAGCTCATAGACAAGGAGACCTTTTCCTTAGGCGATATTAAACATACAGCAGGGTTCCGGGGGGGGGGGGGGCGATAGAAAAAACAGGAAGCCAACATGGTGCAACAACAAGGTTGTTGTTGTGAGGATAAAATGGAGGAGAGAACGATGTAGGCCCTTTGGGTGCCCACTGGGGAGACAGGTGGGATATGAATGAAGTAAATAAATGTTCAGGTTGAAACGACGTAAATCGAAAAGATGCAGAGGCAAGGTGCATGTCATGTTCTATCAAAATGCACAAGACCTGTTGTCATGATCTGGGCTGTGCAAGTAAAGGCCTAGCAGGCCCAGGAAGCCTGAGTAGCGGTGGGAGGAGGCCAGGCCTACAACTCCCAGAAGTCCCTGAGAGGTTTTGGCACCAATTTTAGCCAATCACAGACAAAGGGGACTTATAACAGAAGAGCTGGGACAGAAAAAGAGCTGTTCTTTCTTCCAAGAGACCAGGGCCAGAGGGAAGGCTACTGCTGGGAGAGACCCTCACCCTGAGAGGAAGAGTGAGTAGACTCAGGTCCAACTGAGACAGTGGACTAGGGACTGTGAATCTAGTCGCATTATGTCATGTGGTTTCTCTTCACCCCCTTATCGCTATTGTTTTGCACCTTGTTTGTTTCACATATTTGACTGACCTCCTATAAAAATAAACCTCTTATTTGTTGTTTACTCTACCTGGTCCTCAAGCCTATTATTAGGCCAAATAAGGGAGGTCTGAAGGTCTTGGGAAGGTGCTCTGGGCCTTCTCAAGGGATCCTAAAACCAGAGCGGTGGCAGGGTTAGGTGACGTCTGTGATGGGCCACTTCTCTAGTTTAGCTAAGCAAGTTAAAAAGGTTTATTAAGGCCCCGGTCATACGGGAGGATTTGCCCCACAAGAGCGACAGATTGGGGGCGCATCAGGCGGGCGCGATCACACCACAACGTCTGGGAAGCGTCACGCACCCGTCCCCAATCTGCCGCTTTGGCCCATAAACGCGCATTAAAAAGGTACTACCCAAAGAGCACTATCTTCCGGATAATGCGCGGCAACTTCAGGCGTCTGGTCGGGGAAGCGCTGGTAGCCCGTCACAGCCAGCGCCGTTGCCCGTCCCACGCATGCACACAAATGTACAACATCCGTTTAGCTGTGCTACGTCCAGGGCTATTTTTGGGCAGGAACGCACAGGAACGGAGTTCCGGCTGGCTCCCAAGTTGGCCACACCCAACAGCAGGAACTCATTAGGATTGGCTACATTAGGGGTGTGTGGCCTAACATGCAAAGGAGTTCCTGCTACAAAAAAAGCCCTGGGTTTTGACGACAAACAAGGTAAACAGAATAAGAAGCAAAAGGTGGGTGTGGCTGGATGACCACACTTCTGGTAACATGGGAATGCGGCCTAATATGCTAATGAGTGGTGCAAGTCAGGGGTGTGGCCTAATATGCTAATACGTTTCTGCTGCTGGGTGTGGCCTATTATGCAAATGAGTTCCTGCTGGACTTTTTCTACAAAAAAAGCCCTGGCTACGTCTGATCGCCTGCCGAAGGGCCCAGAGCACGGAGCCACGGGGGCGCGTCAGATCACACACCCACAGTTCTTTTTGCTCCGGCTCTACTTTGCCTCCCTTCAGCAGTGCAGTACCCCACTCGTGTGACTGGGACCTAAGACAGTAAATACTTATAATTAAGGAATCCCAGGTCTTTATTCAGCCCTTGGGGAAAGTTAAACCTTTGATGAATTCTAATTTAGCACTTTCATGTTAGTGTCTCCCTTTGCAGCTCTTTTATTGGAGAATGCTGAGTTTTATATCAGCAATAGTAAAAGAGGAACTATGCACTGCAATGCAGCATTCCCCTCTAACTACTGCTCCAGGCTCCCTATGGCT